TAACTTAGCAATGATAGATAAGAGAATACAGGAAACAAAAAAATGCTGAAGCGAAGTAAAGAAATAGGAAAAATAGAGAAAATATTTTCTGGATATTTTGATCCAAAATTAAAAAGAAAATTAAAAAATTAAGCTCCAAATATTTTGCAAATTAATAAAATGCAAAAATCCTGTGGTGAAAGTCCAATATACTTGTAATTCAAATGAAAGCACTTTCCCTATCCATGAACACACTGTGTTTTCTTACAAGAAAGCAAACCTTATTTAAAAAAACCCACATAAATCAAAGGGAAAAAAGAAAAAAAAAAGAACAGATACAGTCCAGCAGGAGGTTAAAATAAATCAATATTCAGCCAATTTCTAAAGATAAAAGGCAAACTGAAACAAAATATTCAAAAAGTGAAATTAAAACCCAGGCATGCTTAAGAAAACTAAACTGCTGATAGGACGATGAATGACCAGTGACTTTTCTAACTGTGCCCACAGGGAACTGGAATCTTCAAGAGTCCCCTTCCCAGGTGGGTCTATGGCTGTCCAAAAGCTGTCTTCAGTCATTCCTAAGTGCTCTCATTCAAATCCCGGGAGCAGCACTGCCAAGAACCAGCTTTGGCAGCATAATCAGCAGATTGTCAGCAGGAAAAAGAAAAATTAATACTATTCAGCAGCCATCTTGAGGAGAAAATGCTTCCTTGTGATATATGACTCATGCAGATAGTGGAAATAAATGTTAGTCTAGAACTTAGATCCAGAAATATTTTGAAGTTATTATGGAATTGCAGAAGTAGAAGGAGCTATTTAGGCTATAAAGATCCACCTATTGCCCACCTCAGGAATATAGAATAAAACATCTTCAACAGGAGAATGTATAACTTTATTTGAACAAATGAACAAAATGAAGTGGAACCTACTCTCTCTATGAAGAATTGGTTCCATTATTAAACATTTCTTGGTAAGATTGAATTAGAATCTGCTTTCTAAAAATTCTTTCACATTGTTTTCTGTCAAGCAGCTAGAAATAAAGTCTTCCATGAATATTCTGGCATGATGAGGAAAATAACTAATCAAATGTCATCAATAGCACTTGAAGAAATATATTCCTCATTGTGTGGGAATATTTTACTAGATTTATCCATAATTTTGATACAAAGAAAACAATTGAGCATTATCTTGTGTATTACTGGTTAGAAATACCTTAAGGAAGTAATCTTCATGAAATGAAATCCCATTTGCCAAGGCAGTCCCAATGAGAGGTAGAGCCAAAGGACCGGGAGGCAAATGTCTTCGGGACCAGAATTGTCTCAGGAAGAGGAGAATCAGCAGAGCAAGCAGCAAAACAAACAAAAATGTTCCCATTGCCATCATCGTCCTGCTGGTTCTTTTTCTTTGATGCTCACTGGTGAATCTGAAGAAGGTTGTATGCTTTTGTCTGATGTTTTTTTCTTCCTGTTTTATATGCTCCATTGATGGAAAACAAATAACAACTGATCTTTTAATGCTCTCTCATTAGTGATGGAACTTTGTCAAGAAGATATTATCACATTAATTCAGGTTAATGAGGTTATCTCTGACCATGTGCTACACAAATAACAGAGGAAGACATTTTTTTAAAAAAAAAAAATCAAGGGCTGTGTAATCCATTTTATCCCAAACATTGTAGTATGCCAGAATTATTTTAAAATTATAGTGTATCACATGTCCATGAAATTTATCTGAATACAAAGGAGAATCTTGTTGGACCACAGAAGTATTATCTACTCATACATAGCCTTGCAAGCCCAGCATCAGAACATTATCACTAAAGATCTTGCTCAACTTTGCTTTCAAATTAGGGAAATGTCTTCATGAAGGCTTCATATTGTTGAGAACGATCTCTGGTGCTGTGCAGCCTTTTGCAACTAAAACAAGTATAACCACTAGACTAATAAAGAAGGGCTGTTGTAATAGATTCTGCAGCAGCTGTTATTGTTTGAAAGATGTCCCACATCCAAGCAGCAAATTATAGGTAGAGAGCTACATGTGTTTAGAAATTCTACATTCAAATGATGTCACCAATCAGCTGCCTAACTCATCACCACATCCGAAAGCGATTCATGCTAAAGTTTTAGCAGCCACAATTGTCCAACTCTAAAGTACCTATACAAATACATGACCTATTTCTTTCCCATCCACAAATGATCCAACTCTCAGCATTGCTCTTTGTACTCAGTATGGACACTATAACCACAATAACAACACCCACGGGTAGTATTACATGTTGATGATAGCTTGGTAGATAGTAGAACATGAAGCCTTTGAACCATTAATACGAGGGTGGAAAACCTGCCTTAGTAGTTTAGGAATGAGTGCCTCTATTAAGAAGATTGTATATCTTGAAAGTGGTAACCAGACCAATGCTACACTCAAGACTGATGATGTCATATTATAAATAAAGTGACCCAGTGCAAAGTAATTTCAAATTAATAAAAGTTGCTTCTAGAAAAAAATCAACCTTTTTCTGAAAACATTGGAGAGGAGGACCTTTTTTCCTACATTTTTACTGATGGTCAAGACTATAAAAATAACAGTATATTGCGTAACAGCTCTCCAGATGAAGTCAGAGATGCTAACAAAAATGTTTAGTCTTTTATATATAGTATATACATATATTTAACATTCAACATCATCCAGACAGAAAATAACATAAGATAGTCAAGAACACAGGAACATTGTGAGGTAAATTAAACAGTATACAGAACACACAGAAGAAAAAGGCAGGAAAAAAGGGAAATTCCTCCTTTATACGTACAGCAACCAATCATAGCGTAGATTGGCTCATGCATGAGTCAGCATTCTCTAACTAATCAGCTACAATTGTGTGTTCAGGCCTATTGCACACTTTATTCTTCCAGCTACTAAATTCAATATCCTAACAATATCTGTCCTTTAGTGAACATTTCAGGGAAAGTATTCATTTAAGTATGAATTAATCAAGAGTCACTGTTAATTCCTTTTCTTCTTAATGGAATTTCTGTACCCAAAGCATCATGTTTTGATCATGTGACCATGAGGATGCTGCCATGGAATGAAAACCTGTTGTAAACCATCCCAAAGGTGCTTTTTTTCACAAGGTAAGAGGACACAGTGAGCTTCGATAAGAAGCAAAACATCTTCAAAACAAAAGAAAACAAAAGCAAGAAAGTCCAGTTGCCTTGTGAAAAAAGCACCTTTGGGATAACCATGACATGGATGGCTGAGAATCTCCATAGATGTTCTAAGTCACTTTTTTCAGTGCCATTGAAACTTTGAATGAACACCAAATGAATGATTGTAAGTCAAGGACTACATGTATTCTAGAAATTGCATAAATTGTCACGATGTGGCATAATAGCCACAAAATCTTGTAGTTAGAGCAGTCATATGCCTCAATTTGGGCATAACTTTAAATGCATGAATGCATGCAGTAATTCTAGTAATTCTGGCAATGCTGCTTCTGAATTTTTGTGATTCACTCCAATACAGATTAATCACCGTTCCACATGCAAACATTTACTGCGGTAAATTAAATTATACATTAAAACAAACTTCATATAAGTTCTTCAAAAGCTGAGCCTATCTTTGGTCTTGGCTACTTTAAGATAGTAGCTTACTCAGTATGAATCTATTACTTTAATTATTATTCTCCTGCATTCATATTCCTATATAATCCCCAGGGATGTATTTATTCTCTAGACTTGAGATAGAGAAACAAAAATAATTACAGAGAAGCTGGATAGAATTCCTCGTGCTTTTTATTTTCCATTTTAAACATCAGAGCAGGAATGACTCTCACTCTAGCTACAATGAAGAAAACCTGGGCCAGTGTGTTTTTGACTTTTTTTTCTGTTGGAACATACACAGCCTTGGCTATTCTGATGTGGGCACTGCTTCTCTTGGCCAATCATCCTGACATCCAAGGTGAGATATACTTGGCTAGTAGCATAAGGAATCAAACTTCTCATATTCAAAAACATCAATCTCTATGCCATCAGAGAAGGTCTGAGTGACTCAGAAATTCATGACCACCAAGACAAAACCAAGAAATGATGATGATACTCATTCACACTGAGACCGACAAATGGTTCATCTGTTTTTTTTTTTCTTAGCTAACATGTGATCTGAAGATCTAGGATATTCATGTCACTCGTGGTGAGATAACTTTCCATACACCAGGAAGCTTGCTGCTAGGACCCATCTTTCTGTTTAGATTACATCGTCCAACTGGTTTCTCAGAGGCACTGGGGAAAATGTGCCACAAGTCTAGCAGGCCCTTCTATTGGGACTCTACTCAGTCTCCCGAATACATGGATAATAAAGGGATCAAGGGGCCTCATTCTTTGCATTGATTCAGAGGAAGATTTTTGAATAATCAAATAATTCAGGGACAGGAAATGACAGAAAAAGACAAGTGGAGCATTACTGGCAAAAAAATGTCTCCTTTGGGGAAGCTTGTATGGAAAGTGATTAGACTGTGACCAGAGAGGGCTCAAGATGATCCAGTCTACGTCAGGCCTAAGTATGGAATGAAAAATACATTGGTTACTCTTGTGGATGTTCTGCCCTGGGATGTGGATGGGTGGCACACCCTTTCTTCCTCCGTTAATATTCTCAGTGCCATTTCAACCGTTCAAGCAGGGTATCATTTTGGACTATCTGTAAAGTTTGCTCTGGCAGGAGAAGATGACATCCATAGGAAAAAATTAAAAATGAAAATGGATACTAAGACTCAATGGAAAGCCATACGTTTTATTGGTATTCAGAATAAACAAAGGTTAATAACAAGCTTAACATCTATGGAGAATCTCAATCATCCAGATCAGTGTTTCTCAACCTTGACAATTTTAAGGCATGTGGACTTCAACTCCCAGAATTCCACAGCCAGCATTGCTGGCTGTGGAATTTTGGGAGTTGAAGTCCACATGCCTTAAAATTGTCAAGATTGAGAAACACTGATCCAGATCATGGTTATCCCAGAGGTGCTTTATTCCAAAAGGCAACTGGACTTTCTTGAGTTTTTTTTTAATTTGAAAACATTTTGCTTCTCATTCAAGAAGCTTCTTCAGTTCTAATTAACTGGGGGGGGGGAAATGGTAGGATTTACAGTATATTCTTTGCAGCCATCCAAACATTAGCACTCTGAGGGTTGCTTTTTAGTTAATCAAGAAAGTCCAATTGCTTTTTGGGGAAAAAAAAGAACACCTTTGGGACATAACAAGCTTAGTTAGCACATTTTTCACCCATATCCTCCTAGTCTTTAGTTGGCCTAGTTAGGTATGTTGTGTGAACCCAGCAATAGGTTGCAGAAGTTTCAGTATTGAGTAAATAGAAGCAAATGCAATATTAATAGGAAATATTTACCTTACTGAATAACTATTCTATAATAATTTTATCCTTTTTAAGATGTTTAAGTTTAAGCCTTTGTGGGAATTGCACACAGTTTGTAAGGGTGTGGATATAATGTCACTTTTACAACAGGAGCTTCATTGAGTTCTTTCACTCCTTCAGGCAACCGGAAGCTGAAGGCCCTCAACAGGCTGGTCAGAAAGATGAAGATCTCAGTTCTTGCCAGCTGCTCTCCCACACATATGCGTTCACCTGTAGATGAGACAAAGCATGCATCAATCCTTTTTTATATATAAATATTTTATTAATTTTCTGGTTTTATAATCAAATATTTTATAAGCAATGTATTGTCTGGGTCCATTAATAATTCAGCAATATTCGTTAACTTCTTTAGTTTAGAATCCAATATTACCCCATCAAATGCTTCCTCTCTTCTTCCAGTAATATCTATTTTCCCTTGCTGGGCAAATACAATTCTTATTGTTATCAACTAAATATAAACATCTTTGTTACATTTATCAATAGTGTCAGTTTTAAGTAATTTTTCTAATCAGTACATATCTTAATTGCATTTGCACTTAACATCCATATATTCCATCAATGTCCTGTTTTTGCTTTTTTAAAAATTTTAATTTCCATCTGTATTCAAGATGTCTCTATTGTTTATAATTTCAGAGTAAGTTATATTTAGGTGACCAAAAGTTTCCCTTTTTCAAACTTCATAGTGTTTTCTTGTTTCTCTTCTCATACCAAAATCTAATATTCTAATTACAAATCTTATATTTCTAGTTATATTTCTATTTCTAACTATTATCTATTCTTCACCATGTTCAACCATCTAATTAATAATGTAGTGTCTCATCTAGTGGATCAGAACCTCTTTTTTTTTAGTCTTACTCTAGCTTTTTTCTTTTGCCAGCTAACTTTTCAACTCAGTGCTTTTGAATCATCAAGTAATTTTTCCTCTGTTTTTGTGTGTATTGTTTGGAATACATTTGGTTACAATATTTTTGGAAGAATCCATTGATATTCATTAAACAGCCTCCCTCCTTCTCCAATTTCCCACAGATGTCCTAACAGCTCTATCTTCCATTCAATCAATTCTTCTTCCTTTTCCTCAAATATATTCTGAATTCTTGATTTGTAAAATGCCTTTAACATTTTCAATATTATCACTCCATCTTCTAATTTTTCAGTTGTCTGGATCTGTCGGTCAATTCCTTGCTTTAAGTCCTCCATCTTGGGATCTGGTTGCTGTAGTTTTCCTTCTATTTTCTGCATTTTTAATTCCTTCTTTGTTGTCATGTTCTGAGTTTGTAGATTTAGATTAGAAAATTGTTCTTTTATCTCCTTTATGTTATTTATAGTTTCATCACGAGCTAAAACAATACTCTCTTGTATTGATTTCAACATGGAGAGGATTTTTTTCTTATATTCATCCATATTTTCTTGGTAATTCATTAAGTTGAAGACTTTGGGGACAGGTGTTAAAGATGGTTTTTTACCATTTAAAACTGAGTATGGGACATCCATTTCACTTTTTGTGGGTGGTCTTTATTGTGGAAATTGTTCTTCAATTAAAGATTTGTAATCCAAAGTATTCCATCATTCAAGTAATGATGTGTGTTTCTCCTGTAGGGAAATGATTTCACAACACAGCTCTGAAAGTCAATAAATATTTATATTCATGGTTCAGGCAGGCTGGTTTCAAAATAGTTCATCATCTCTGCTACACTGATAAGCAGCCCAGAATTTTTTTTCCTTTCTTTGCAGCTGAAATCATCAAAGGTAAAAATGTTCAAGGACAGCAAGAGTTATCTAAATCTGGACTTCGAGCCAAGTTTCCTTTGAGCATAACAAATTGTAGTGCCATAGTTCACCACTAGATGTCATTAGTGCCATTCTCTAGCTTTTTAAATCCAATTTTATACTACAAGTTTTTCAAATCTCTCTCTTTTTTTAAGAAGTCTCAAAAAGCACTTTTAGTCCCCAACTTCCAGTGCCATTATATGTACAATTAGTTTCAAATTAGCCTTGTAGTTTTCTTTGTTTCCTCCAGGTAATTAGCTCACCACTTTTCTGAGGGAATGGGGTGGAAGCTTTCCTTCCCTCTCATGGGGGGGGGGGTAGAAAGCTTTGGGCAATTTTTTCCAGGAAGAGCTCTTAAAGTCTTAAAGAGAGGATAAACCCTGGTATCTTCTACCACATTCAATTTCTAATGTTGCCATTTCCTTTTCATTCTGTTTGTTGACACTTGGGTTGGGGGGAGTGCCTTTCTTCCTGACTCCAACAGAGTAATTGTTCCTATGGCACTGGACTCCATTTGATATCTTTTTCCTCAGGGATTTAAACATTTGTGTTTAGATTGTCAGTTCAGAAATAAGATGATTAAGGGCCTGGAGATGAAAACATAGAAAGAATGGTTGCAGGAATTGGTATGGCCAGTCTAGAGAAAAGAAGGACTAGGAGTGACATGATAGCAGTATTCCAGTATTTGAGGGGCTGCCACAAAGAAGAGGGGGGGGTCACCTTATTTTCCAAAATACCAGGAGGCAAGAGAAGAAGCAATGGATGGAAACTAATCAAGGAGAGGAGCAACCTAGAACTAAGGAGAAACTTCCTAACAGTGAGGACAATTAACCAACAGAACAGCTTTAGAAATTGTGGGGTGCTTCACCTCTGGAGGTTTTTCAGAAGAGACTGGACAGCCACCTATCCGAAAGGGTACAGGGTCTCCCGCTTGAGCAGGGAGTTGGACTAAAAGACATTCAAGGTCCCTTCCAGCTCTATTCTAAATATTGTTATTGAGTACTAGATAGGTCTGGATGGAATACACCAGGAACATCTTATGCCTCGTCCTTTGTGGAGTCTTGGCTGATTTGTAAAATATGGAGATGGCCCAAGTAGTTACAACATCACTTATAAGAAAGTCTTTTTTACTAGTAGAGCTAAATCATATTTTGGTTTATGATTATAGATCATTCTCCAATATTACAGGCAATTAAGAAAGCAATGTCTCACAAGTCCAGATGCATTTGGATGAAATTGTCCATTTCACCTGGTGATTTATTTGCTTATGCTACTGAATCTGTTTTGGTTCTCTTCAGAAAAAAAAAAAAAAACTTGCCAGGAAATTGTTGTGGGGAGAGAGAATTCTCCTGCTTCCATCAGTTACTTTCAGTTCATTGACCGTGCATCTCTCTGGGCCATTGGTTTGAACTGGGCTTTGGGGGCACAGTAGTTCCAGTCCTTCCTGTTGGACTATAACCAGAAAGTAATTCTGCAGGATTATGTACAGAAGGTGGTTTTCAGGGATTACTATGTTCTTTGATCATTGATGTCGGGTGAGCAGGCCTTGGGAGTGGAGCAACATCAGTATGGCATGACTCCCATATTTAATACTTCCTACCACCCAAGGTAGGGCGATAGAAACTCAGTTTGATTTCTATTTCTTTGAAGATGTTTTGCTTCTCATCCAAGAAGATTCTTCAGTTCTAACTCAATAGTAGAAGTTGGAAGGATTTGCCGCAAGGAATATAATAACTTTGTGGTCCAGATCCATCCTCAAGAAGCTACAGTTAAGTGAGTGTTCTTTTGAATTAGCTAATATTTCTCCCAAGCACTAGAGATAATTGTACAATCTTATACATATGTTACAAAGCTCCAATAGTAAAATTACAGCCTAACTATTCCTTCATAGTTTGACGTTTATTGTCTAAGGGAAGTTCAGACTCTCTTAGTTTTGAAACTAGAAGGAATAAGGATTCCTTGGTTTTCTGTTCAGACCCTGATGACCTCAGAACAACACAGGAATGGGGAGGGTGAGAATCTATAAGTTATAAGCTGCTCATGGACGTACCTATTCCAAATGGTAGAAACTCTTCCTGTTCAATGAACTTCCCATCCTTATCTAAAAAGTGATTTGGGTTGAATTCTTCAGGTGTCTCCCATTGTTCTGGATCAATAAGAACAGAGCGCAGGTCTGGCAAAATCATGGTCCCCTGCAAACCAAGAGATGATTAAACAGAACAGTTTCATAACTGAAATGGGTAAAAAAAAAGTTCGAACAATATTAATGAAGCATTTGGTTTTAGCATGATTTATGAATCCATATTTGTTCATATCTCAAACAGTTTCAGAGAGCAGTAGCTGTTCAACTGTTTAGCTTCCTTTCTTCCATCCATTCCATTAAAACAGAGAGCTAGGTGCATATTTATCATTTCAGATTGCCCCAAGAAATGGGCAAAGAAACATGTCCAGCTATGACTACATTTCTGAACTTAAGTTCAGCTCTTAATCACTTACCTCCTTCCTTGAAAAAATAGAAAATGTTTATGGTTCTAGCTTCAATATCTGAGAGGTATTTAGATTTAAACCCATAATCCAGTGATGGCAAGCCTTTTAGAAACTAAGTGCCAAACTGCAACCCAAAACCCACTTATTTATCGCTGAGTGCCAAGTGGGCATGGCCCACTGGGTGGGCATGGCAGTGGTGGTCATAGCAGATTGGGTGGGTGTGGCCAAGTGGGTATGATCACCTCGATGTTGCTCGTGGGGAGGGACGCGTGTGGGGGCCGGGCAGGGTTGGGGGAGATCCAAGGGGTCTCTGGGAGGTGGGATGGTGGGCAGGAGGCTCGTCCTGCTGGGTGAGGCAAGGCAAAGCGGGGCTGCCATTGTCACAGGGCAAGGTGAGGCAGGGGTGGCTACTGCCTGACACCATCAGCCCCCGCACACAGAGGCCAGCGAGTGCATGGTTGCTGGAATGCATCTGGCCATGTGAGACCTGGTTGAAGAGGGATGGTTGCCATCTCCAGGGCATGGTGCATGTGCCCACAGAGAGGGCTCTGAGTGCCGCCTCTGGCATGCGTGCCATAGGTTCACCACCATGCTATAATCCATCCATGAAGCCACCACAAAAGTTTGCTATTCTTGGTCATTCGACTTTGCATGACTACATTGGCAGTTCCTGAACAGAGAGCTTCTGTCATGTTCTGCTTGTCCCTCCATGTGGGACTACTGCAATACAGCCTGAACATTTTTCTCACCTTTGGAATGTGGTAACCTCTCATCTTCACATCTTTCCTACTTTTCCTGGGAACCCCAACTAGAAGGACATATTTTATACGCTGAATTTCATGAATCACAGCATTGGTGTAGGGCAGCTTCTTCCGATCCTGATAGGAAATTGACCGTGAGAAGCCAAACACATCTTCAATCTCTTTCTGGACTTTCTCTAGAAAAAAATGATGGAAATAGAAGCTTTATTTTATTCATTCAACCCTGTTGCCCCCAATGTTCTTCAGAGGATCCAGCCTTCTCCTTCAAGTTATTACCAGCTTCTGGGCTCCAGTTCCAGATTTGCAGCCTCATTTGGATCTCCAATGGCAGTTGCCATCTCATTGGCCTTTGTGCTGCTACTTGCACCAGACCACCTTACAGAGGGCTCCAAATCCATCTTTGTTCTCTGGGCACTGCACTGCTCCCACTGGCCTCTGATCTCTGATCTGGGCCACGTATCCACTGTCAAGGCCCCTGTTGACTCTCTGGGCCAGTTCTTGCTTCCAGTCCCCCCCCCCCAGCTTGTCATTTTTCTGGCCTGCAGCTCCCACTCCAAGCTGGCTCTTCATTACACCTCTACCAGATTTTTGCCCTCAGCATACACTCTCTGCCATGTCTTCCAGACCTGCAACCCCTTCAGACTGGCATTGGGTTTGACTCAGGCTCAACTCCTCATCTAATACCAGTTCAAAGTTCAAGGGTTATTATTCAAAACCTCCAACAGTTTCAGAGGTAAAACAAACAATGTGTGGACCCAGTTACCAAGCTCAGCGTGAGACGAACTCTTAACAAGATTCAGATCATGAAATGCCAAACAAAGTCTAAAGCCAGTCCTAAATCTATACACAAGGTTGCAAGTCAGGTTGCAAAGAACAGAAACCCGAGACAAGAAATTGGACATATTGTTCCAGCAACACCCATTGCTTTGGGCGGGATTAAAAAGGAAATGCTGGTATGGTCCATCACGATGGGTATATTGCCTCATTGTGAATAACCTGTGTTGCACCTGTCTCCTCTCTGCCATGTGCATCTTTAGAGAGGGAGGAGGTAGAGACTCCATTTCCTCATCCTCACTGACTGCCCGCATTCCCTGCCTGGATCCTCCAGGCTTACCTGCCACAGCTGTAGCTACCTTGGCTCTGTCTCAGCCTGCTACGCATCTGATAGTTCTGACTGTGGCTGCTACGTCAGGCTGGGCCCTCCACTCCCCAATCCACTTCTCTCTGTACCTCTGTTGTCTCTTTCCCCAAAATGTCAGGACCTGGCTTATCCTCCTCCTTCTCTCAATTTACATCCGGAGAGGGGTCTGAAGGAGGGTCCATTATACCCATCCTGGTTGTGTCCCTCTATGCTGCAGACAATGGTCCTAGAATGGGTCTGCCACCTCTACCCCAAATCTGTTTCCAGGAGTTTTCACTGGTTGGCAAGGTGAAAATACAAGCTTCGGCTACCTCCTGACTCTGGACCCATCCCCTGTCTTTGCCATGTCATCCTAGTTCAGTCTGTTTACCTCCAATCTTCAGTCAGGTAGAAGGCCAGGAAGTAGCAGAGCAGAAGAAGGTAGAGTTTAGGAGAAGATTGATGGGTTCATTTGATGCTCTGAGTGACAAGGAAAACCCTCCCCCCCCACACACACAAACACACAATTCTCCAATCTCTTTTCTTCAGGGAAGGGAGCCTCGCTCTGTGCATCTGCTCCTCCCACCGTTTTTATTTTTTTTTCTGTTAATTATCATACTGAAATTTGATGTTGTATAATTTATATGTAATTTAGGCCCAAAACCAGTAACAAATCTGAAAACCATGGTAGATTTCTGCATTGAAAGTTTTAAATGTTTCAGATTTCCAGTTTTTAGTTCCTCACGGAACATTTTATTGAGGATTCAAAGAAAGCTCCTGTCAACGCTGCAAATATTGTATATTCTTGCTTTTGACAATATGCAGAATTGTCTGGCAAATATGGGGCTAATAAAGAGCAGATGGGGCATTGGGGGTAAAGCCCGGGAAAGAAAGAGGAAGAAAACATTTGACCTTCATACTAATTGGATAGTGTGAGGTATGACAGCTAATTTAGGGAGGGAACATGCTGATAATTTAACTGCTCAGAGGAAGAGAACTTAGATCCTAGCATCCCTCCGTTGTGCCTGTGCCGACATTTTGTAACATTAAAAGACTTTTAGTAAAATAAATGCCTGGAAGTTCTTTGGAATGTTTCATTAGCCGGAACCACATCAGCTCCCTGTTTGTTTATTTATTTAGCATATGGCAAGCTCTCAGTATGTACGTTCTTTGCTTTCTTTTAATCCCGCTAACTTCATACTCCTGCTTATAGAATCAAGAATCTACAACGGAAAAATATTGTGAAGAATACATTTCAAATAATTTCTGTGTAATTTAAAACCTGAGACTGACTCTTGTTCCACTAACTATGTCTGTCTCACCTTGGATGTCAGGATGATTGGTCAAGAGGAGCAGTGTCCACATCAGAGTAATAAAACTTGTCTCTGTTCCAGCAATAAAAAAATCAAAAATACACTGGGCCAGATTCTCTTCATTGTAGGTAGAATTGGAGTCATTCCTGCTCTGATGTTTAAAATAGAAAATAAACATTACAATGAATTCTACCCAACTTCTCTGTAATTATTTTTGCTTTTGTATCTCAAGTCTAGAGAATAAACACATCCCTGGGGGTTATATAGGAAAACCAATCAAGGACAGTAATAATTAAAGTGATAGATTCATACGGAGTAAGACATTATCTCATTGTAGCCAAGATCAAAGACAGGCTCAGCTTTTGAAGAACTTTAATGCATTTTGTTTTAATTTATAATTGATCCATCTCAGTAAATGTTTGCATGTGGAATGGTGATTAATCAGTACTTACTAGAGTGAATTAAAAAAAATCAGAAGCAGCATTACTAGAATTACTGCATGCATTCATGCATTTAAAGTTATGCCCAAATTGATGCATATGATTGCTCTAACTACCAGATTTTGTGGCTCTTATGCCACACTATGACAATTTATGCAACTTTTCAAATAAGGATAGTGCTCAACTTACAATCATTCATTTGGTGATCATTCAAAATTTCAATGGCACTAAAAAAAAGTGACTTATAATAGGTTTTCATACCCTTGAAGCATCCCTATGGTATCAAACCTGACTTGACTTTTGGTTGTTGAATGTGCCAAAGGGGATGGCTGACCCATGGTCATGTGATCAAAATTCAGGTCTTTGGCAGCTGGCATGTACTAATTGTACTGTCCTGGGGTCATCTGATCACCACTCGTAACCTTCCCAGCTGGCCTCTTACAACCAAAGTCAATGGGGGAAACCAGATTTACTTAATGATCACATGACTCATTTAACAATTGCAGTGATTTGCTTAACATCTATGGCAAGAAAGGTCATAAAATAGGGCAAAATTCACTTTATTACTGCTTTGCTTAGCAATAGAAATGTTGGGCTCAATTGCGGTTGCAAGAGTCTTGTGAGATAACGTTAATCTTGCAACAATCAGTGCAACTTTGTGAAGAATTGTGGGACAACTGACATAATACAGGCCATCTACCTACTTGTTGAGAAGTAATTTGAGAAACAAACCACTATAAATATGTCAGTCACAGAGTTAGAAAAAGCATTTGTGCACGTATCACATGATCTAATTTCTTCCCATCCACAACTGATCCAAACTCTCATCATTCGTCTTTGTGCTGAGTATAGACACTGTAACCAGAAACCTTCAAATATGACACACATGGATGTTATTATATGCTAACGATATCATGATAGAAAGTCAAACATGAATAACCTTCAGACCATTAATAAAAAGGTGGAAATCTGCTTTAATAGGACCAGTACTAAGAAGACTGTATATCTTGAATGTGGGGGCCATACCAATGGTACACTCAAGACTGATGTCAGATTGTAAATAAAGGGACCCAGTGCCAAATAACTTCAAATCAATAAAAGGTCCTTCTAAAAATAATCAATCTTTTTCTGAAAATATTACCATAGAGAGGAGGACCCTTTTTATTATTTCAAACTATTTTACATTTTACTGATAGTCAAGGCTGTAAAACAGACATGTAAAACACAAGGCCCGGGTGCTGGATGTGGCCCGCGATGTGGTTTCACGTGGCCCACGAAGCCATCCTGGAAATAGTGAGGGAACAGTCCCCTCTGCCTTGGCCCTGGCCCACGCCAGCCAGGAGCCAATGTACAATTTTGTGGTGGCCATCTATGCTGAAACACATTCAGTCTTAGCTCCACAAGGCCATCTGGAAACAGCGAGGAACCAACCCCTGCTGCATCGGCCTTGCCCCCTGGGTGCATCCTTTGTGAGGAATGAAAAAATGTACCATCACCTGGAAGTGGCCAGCAAATGGCCCTCGCCTACTTCACCTAATCGGCTTGATGGGCTCTATGGGAGGGGTTTCGGCAGGCAGTGGGGTGCTCTCCTCACAGCGCTGAGAGGCTAAGCTGGGCAGCGCGAATCCAAAAAGAAGTGCAATGCTGCCTAGCCCCCAGCCTGCCCGGTTTCAGCAGGCAGCAGGACACTCTCCTCACAGAGCTAAGAACTGAGCCGGGTGCCACGAATCTGATGAGAAGTGCAATGCTGCCTAACCCCCAGTCTGCCCAGTTTCAGCAGGCAGTAAGGTGCAAAGCTGATGAGCTTCGCACCACCCAGGTCAACTTCTCGGCACTGTGAAGATAGCACCCCGCTACCTGCTGAGACTGGGCAGGCTGGGAGCTGGGTGGCAATGTGCAGGTAATGTTGACTCTCATGCTGTTCATGGCATCCCCTCTCCCAGAACCCACCAAGCCAGATATGTGAAGTAGGTGAGGGCCATGTGCTGGCCACTTCCAGGCGATGGTGCATTTCTTCATTCCTTACGAAGGGTGACACCTCCCCAGCTGCATTTCTTGCCTGTTTTTCTCCCTCCCTCATCTCAAATATTTTCCCCCACTCTGTACTTAGGAAGGAAAGAAGGAAAGGAAAGAAGGAGAGGGAGGGTCTGAGGGAACTCCTGCCTTATTCCTGCCTTGCTGCCCTTTCACCATCTCCTTGCCCCCTCCTCCTGGCTTATCCTGGGGGTGTCCCATCCTATTGCTAAGGACGCTTTGGATACAAAGATGGGTCTCCTCCCATGGAGAGGGAATGGGCCTCCCTCTGACTTTGCCCTCGTATCCATCATGAGCAACTGGCTAAGGAGAGCAAGCACAGCAGCAGCAGCCTTGAGGAGATAAGTGCAACTGGGCACCCCCTTGGGGAAGTGGGACTAGGCTTGATGCCGCAGGTGCTCGAGGGCCAGGCTGGGCATTTGACCTCTGCTGCCCAGGACTCCGGGCAGCCCGCACCACCAAACCCCCCCCCCTCGCATGGCCTGAGAGGAACAGTGAGGCTCCTCCAGTGGACCATGCCTTGGCACTTGCCCTGGTCCCATCCCCTTCTGCCAGAGACCTTCAGATCTGTCCCACTCCTGCCCAGGCCCCCACAGGCACTCTTGACATGAATGATGTAGAGATGGCCATGCCCACCCAGTAGGCCACACCCACTCCATTCACGCTTACCCAGTAGGCCACACCCACCCTGGCCACGCCCACCAGGCCCCCCCAAGGGCAACCACAATGCTGATGCGGCCCTCAATGAAATTGAGTTTGACACCCCTGCTGTAAAAGTATGTCAGGGAATTGCTCAGCAGCTGTCCAGATGAAGTCAGAAACACTAACACAAATGTGTAGTACTTTATATATAAAAATATATTTAACATTCAATATCAACCAGAAAGAAAAAAACATAAGATAGGCAGGAACACAGAAACATTATGAGGTAAATTAAACAAAATACAGAACATACAGAAGAAAAAGGCAGGAAAAGAGGGAAACTCCCCCTTTATACTTACAACAACCAATCACAATACAGATTGCCTCATGCATGAGTCAGCACTCTCTAACTCAGTGGTTCTCAACCTTTCTAATACCGTGACCCCATAATACAGTTCCCCATGTTGTGGTGACCCCCAACCACTTATACATCATCGGGTGCCAGGGGCGTGGCCAAAGAAAAGGGGAAAAAAATGGCGGACAGCCTTGTTTGGCGACTCCCGTGAAATGGTCGTTCGACCCCAAATGGGGTCCCGACCCACAGGTTGAGAACCACTGCTCTAACTAATCAGCTATAACAGTGTGTTCAGGCCTATTGTATACTTTACTGTTTCAACTACTAAATTCAATATCCTAACAGTATCTGTCCTTTACCAAACATTTCAGGGAAAATATTCATTTAAGTATGAATTAATCAAGAATCTCTGTTAATTCTTTTCCTTCTTAGTGGAATTACTTTAGGAAAAGGGGAAAGAAGTGATAGTCAAATATGAGAGGATGACAAATGATAATAAATCTAACTTCCGCCACAAAGAATCTCCCTTGTCTAACAAGAGTTTAAGATTGCAGGGTTGCAATATAGCTCTTTAGAAACAATCTGAATTAGCATAGGCTAAATTCAGAATAGGAGCTAGATGAAGAAGAAATAACTCCATTACCTCTAGCTCCTCGTCTTTACTTATAGTGAGAAATATAATAATTCCTTTCCCAGGAATTGAACTACAATAAACCCATACCTTCTCCATCTGAAGTAGATAGTGATCAATGAAATCTTGTGGTTCATGCAAAGAGCTGTATTCCTTGTGTTTCTCTATTTCCTGCTTTGCAAAAGAAATGATCCCCTCCATAGAAGCCAATACATCCTTGTGAGGGCCCGGAACATACTTCATTAATTGTGGGAACACAACGTTTATCTAATAGAAATGGAAAAGTTTGTTTATTTATTCCCCACTACAACAAAAGAAGACTCTTAGCAACTCACAGTAATAGGCAGCACTGAATAACCAAAGAAAAACTTTGCAAGCACATTGAAACATGGCCAAAAATGCATTGGTGTCAAACCTCAAAAGTCCTCCAGAAAAGCTGTTTCCAAATTCTTGTAGAAAAGAATAATAGAAACAGAGTTCATCTCTGCACTCTTTCCAGAGTTTCAAGATCTTTTTTTTTAATCATGGTCACCTAACTTCAAATCAATAAAAGATCCTTCTAAAAGTAATCATTTTTTTTTTCCTGAAAATATTACCGCAGAGAGGAGGATCCTTTTTTGTTGTTTCAAACTATTTTACATTTTACTGATGGTCAAGGCTGTAAAGGTATGTCAGTGAATTGCTCAGCAGCTGTCCAGATGAAGTCAGAAACACTAACACAAATGTGTAGTATTTTATATATAAAAATATATTTAACATTCAACATCAACCAGAAAGAAAAAACATAAGATAGGCAGGAACATCATGAGGTAAATTAAACAGAATACGGAACATACAGAAGAAAAAGGTGGGAGGGAAGGGAAACTCCCCCTTTATACTTACAACAACTAATCACAGTGTAGATTGCCTCATGTATGAGTCAGCACTCTCTAACTAATCAACTATAGCAGTGTGTTCAGGCCTATTGTACACTTTACTGTTCCAGCTACTAAATTCAATATCCTAACAGTATCTGTCCTTTACCAAACATTTCAGGGAAAGTATTCATTTAAGTATGAATTAATCAAGAATCGCTGTTAATTCTTTTCCTTCTTAGTGGAATTACTTTAGGAAAAGGGGAAAGAAGTGATAGTGAAATATGAGAGGATGACAAATGATAATAAATCTAACTCCGCCACAATGAATCTCCCTTGTCTAACAAGAGTTTAAGAGTTGCAATATAGTTCTTATTTAGAAACAACCTGAATTAGCATGGGCTAAATTCAGAATAGGAGCTAAATAAAAAAGAAATAACTCCACTACCACTAGCTCCTCATGTTTACTTATAGTGATGAATGTAATAATTCTTTGTTCATGTATTGATCAATGAAATCTTGTGGTTCATGCAGAGAACTGGATTCCTTGTGTTTCTTTATTTCCTGCTTTGCAAAAGAAGTGATCAGCTCTAAAAAGCCAAGGCATCCTTGTGAGGGGCCGGGACATAGTTTATTAATTGTGAGAACACAACGTACATCTAATAGAAATGGAAGTGGAAAAGTTTGTTTATTTCCCACTACAACAAAAGAAGACTCAGAGCAGCTTACTATAATAGGCAGCACTTAATAACCAAAGAAAAACATTGCAAACACATTGAAACCTGGCAAACTATACATGGTGTCAGACCTCAAAAGTCCTCCAGAAAAGCTGTTTCCAATTTCTTGTAGAAAAGAATAATGATAGAGGCAGATTGATTATTATAAAGCTATTATATCATTCTCTTATTCTCTCATTGTCTCCAGGAGCCTTTGTAAATATGGTTTCCCATGGCTAACTAAGCTGTGATTAGAGCAGCTGGATTCACATGACAAGCTAAATAATGAATGAACTACACGGGTTGGATTTTCAGTCTGCTAGCTTTTCTTTTCTTTTCTTTTTAAAAAAACAAATTTTATTAATTTTCCAATTTTACAAAGCTCCAGGTATTAAGGAAGCAACATGGTGATTGGGTAATCCATAATCCAATAACAAGCTCTTTCGTATATATGTCACGTTACATCATCAAGAATTTCCTCTCTTGATATTTTTATCCCAAAGTTTTTGCCAGTCTTCCAAATCTATAGAATATCCAAAGTTCTTTGCCCATACTATCATTGTTTCTTTCACTTGTTCTTCCATCTTCCAGTTTAAAAGAAATTTATAGAGTTTTCTAATCAAGTTCTCATCTATTTTTAACAAAATTTTATCCAATGAGGTCTGTTCTTTGTAAAAACCTCTCAATTGTATATCTTTTTCGTATCTTGTTTGAATTTGCAAGTAGGACCACCAAGTCAAGTCAATACCTTGTAGTAATAGTAGTAAAGTTGGAAGGGACCTTGGAGGTCATCTAGTCCAACCCCCTGCTCAGGCCGGAAACCCTACACCATTTCGGACAAATGGCTGTCCAGTCTCTTCTTAAAAACTTCCAGTGTTGGAGCATTTACTGCTTCTGGAGGCAGGCTGTTCCACTGATTAATTGTTCTCACTGTCAGGAAGTTTCTCCTTTGTTCTAGGTTGCTTCTCTCCTTGATTAGTTTCCACCCGTTGCTTCTTGTCCTGCCTTCAGGTGCTTTGGAAAATAGCTTAATTCCCTCTTCTTTATGGCAGCCCCTGAGATATTGGAATACTGCTATCATGTCCCCCCTTGTCCTTCTCTTCGTTAAACTAGACATACCCAATTCTAGCAACCGTTCCTTATATGTTTTAGCCTCCAGTCCCCTAATCATCTTTGTTGCTCTTCTCTGTACTCTTTCTAGAGTCTCAACATCTTTTTTACATCGTGGTGACCAAAACTGGATGCAGTATTCCAGTGTGGCCTTACCAAGGCATTGAAGAGTGGTATTAATACTTCATGTGATCTTGATTCTATCCCTCTGTAATTATAAAGTAAGCCTGTACTTAAGATTTCCCTCTTTGTCTAAAATGTCTTTATAACTAACCAGTTTGTCATAACTAATCAAATTTGGATAAGCAAATGCTTCCATTGTTGAAAGCCACTCAGGTATTTTCATATATATTTTATGTTTAATTTTCTCCCATTCTGAAAGTAGTACGTTTCTTATCGCATGATTTTGAAAGTACTTATGTGCTTTAGATTTCTCATACCATATAAAAGCATGCCAAACTAGCTGAAGGTCGTGTCCCTCTAAATAAAGCAATCTTTTGTTTCTCAATACAATCCATTCTTTTAGCCAAAGCAAAATAGCCGCTTGATAGTAAAGTCTCCAATCTGGAAGTCCAAAGCCCCCTCTATCCTTAGATTCTTGTAACAATTTACATTTGATTCTTGCTTTCTTTTTTTGCCATATAAATCTTAGAATCATTGCTTTTAAATCATCAAAAAATTCTTAGTAAGTTTAATAGGCACTGTTTGAAATAAGAAAATTAGCTTTGGTAAAATGTTCATCTTAACCGTCGCTATTCTTCCTAAAAGTGATAATTGAAGATTTTCCCATCTTTCCAAGTCCATTTTTATTTGTTTCATTAATCTCTCATAATTATCTTCTTTTAATGTAGTATATTTCGCCGTTAAATAAATACCCAAAATTTAACTTTTTTAACTATTTGAAGATTTGTCATTTTAATGAGTTGAGTTTTCTGTTTGTCTGTTAGATTTTTTGTTATTACTTTAGTCTTTTCCCTGTTTATTTTCAGACCAGCCACTGCTCCAAATTTCTCAATTTTCTGGAGGAGTTTATCAGCTGTTTGCAATGGCTCCTCTAGAATAAAGACCAAGTCATCCGCAAAGGCCTGTAGTTTATATTTCTGGTCTTTAATCTCCAGGCCTTTAATTTCTGTATCTTGTCTGATATTTCTTGCCAAAACCTCTAATATAAGAATAAACAATAGAGGAGACAACGGGCATCCTTGTCTAGTGCCTTTTTTAATCTCAAATCCATCTGTGTAATCTCCATTTAAAAGTATTCTTGCTGTTTGTTTCTTATAAATTGCCTGAATTGCTTTGTTAAAATTTTCACCAAAGTCCATTTCATGAAGTTGTTGGAACATAAATTGCCAATTTAAGTTATCAAAGGCTTTTTGTGCATCAAGAAATATAAGTGCCATCTGGTTCCCTGGATGGATTTCATAGTACTCCAAAACGTTCAAAATAATCCTCAAATTATTCTTTATCTGTCTTTTTGGTAGGAAACTATTTTGGTCTGGGTGTATAAATTCATTCAAAAAATTTTTCATTCTTTCTGCCATTATTGCAGCAAAGATTTTATAATCCACATTTAGTAGTGATATTGGTCTTTAGTTTTTAATTAGTGTATAATCAGTATCTTCTTTAGGTATCAAAGTAATATTAGCTTACAAAAGCGGTAGCATATAAAGAAAACTTATATAAGATGTTTTATAGATGGCATATGATACCAGTTCGCTTAGCGAAAATGTTTAAAAATGTTTCGGATATTTGTTGGAAATGTAAACAACAGCCAGGCACTTATTACCATGTCTGGTGGACATGCCCTATCACTAAGAAATATTGGGCTAAGATCCATAGATGGTTGGAAAAGATGATGAAACTACAGATAGAATTTAAACTGGAATTGTTTTTGTTAAGAATATTAAGACCTACTTTTGGTAAAGAGAATGATTACTTGATATTGCATGTTTTAACTGCTGCAAGGATAGTATTTGCCCATTTTTGGAAAAATGAGAATTTACCATCTGACCAGACTATTATTACCAAAATTTTAGAGTGTGCAGAAATGGATAGACTAACATTAGAAATGAAAGAAAAAGATGATTCAATTTATTTTAGAACTTGGGAAAAATTTTATCAATGGTTAGAGACACGTTAGAACTTGAAAGATTCAATATTTTAGAATAGATGATTGATTTTTAATTAAGTTCTAACTAACATTTTGATGATATGATTACTTTTCCTGATTTACTGACTTTCATTGGTTACTTTTGATTGTTAGATTTTTTTTGAGATTTTATCAGTAGTGTTTACTTAATAGATCAACGTATTTGTTTACTATTTTTTTTGATATGTTACAGTCTAAGCTTTGCTAAAAATGGTTGAATATGATATTCACTCATTATTATGATCCAGACGGTAGCTTGTTTGTTGAAATATGTGATTGTATCTATCCTTATTTTACCCTAATTTCTTATCTCCTTCCTCTCCCCCTTTCCTTCCACCCCTCCCTTTAGCATACCTGTATTGTTCCTATTTTTCCTCATCTATATAAACTTAATAAAATTTTGTTTAATTTTTTTTCCCTTTCTGTTTCCCTTGGTTATTATATCACATTCAAATTAATACACTGCTAGTTATAATTCAATCGGTTAAAACATTTATCAATATATTTTGACTTATATGCCTCCATGTCCTGTTTTTAACTTTTATCTAATTTCAGTTACAGTATTCCAGTTAGTTTAGTGTCCATAGTATTTAGTTTTCGGATAACCCATGGTTCCCTTAGTTCATTACAAAATAATTATCATATCTAAGATACACTTATTATTTACTCAAATAAATTCTTACTTTATTTCACAATTGTATTCTATTTCTCATCCTAATATCATCACTTACTAATAAAATAACCTTTATCATCTCAATCCATCTTCTATATTATAATTCAAAATGATTATTCTAATAACTAGTTTTAGTTCCCTTATAGGTCTCAATCCTAAATATTAAATCAGTTAATGTCTTTTAAAATCTCCTTAGCCCATCAAATGAGATCCCAGGCTCTTCCATTAAAGGTCACATAAAGAAATCCCATTTTTTAAGTCTGACTCTGGCTTTCCTTTTGTGCCAAACAGGCTTCCATTGCAGTGCTTTTAAATCCTCAGGTGGATCTCCCTTCATTTCTTCACATGTCATTTGAATCAAGGGAGACCATCCAGTTATCAATTTTCCAAGGAAGCTGGTCCCTTCATAGGCATTAGATTGTTGGCCTAATAATTTGAGTCTCCATGTTTGGCTTAGTATATTTGTCATCAGTTCAGATTGGCCTTCTTCTTCTTCTTCTTCCGGTTTCAGCTGATTTAAATAAAAAGCCATATTCAATGTTGTAGTTGTTGTTTGGTTGTCTGGGTTATCTAAATTCTCCATGTGCTGTGTATGTAGGTCTTCAGCACCTTCCGTCTTAGTGTTGTTTTGTTCAGTTTCTGTTGCTGTTAGAATTGCAGATTTTTTAGTTAAAATCAAGGTTTGGTTATCAGGGTTCTCAGTAGGTTGTAGCTGGTATTCTTTAAAATCCACTTTAGTGTTAATTCCTTCTTCTGTTGCCTTTGAGTTTTAAGTTCATCAGTTGAAATCTGGGCTGCATTTTGTAGCTTTAAGGTGGCGCCTTTATCTTTCAGTGTGGAATTCATTAGCTCAGTAGCCTCTAGGATTTTTTCAAGTATAAATTTGTAGTTAAGTTGTGGGTAGTATTCCTCCATTTCTGTGGTGTTTACAGATAGTCCTTTAATGAAGGCTATTTTTGATAAAAGTCAATAAATGTCCACCTCCACTATAGAGAGTTGTTTTCACCACCCAGCTTTTTCAGGTTCTTATCTTTTTTGATAGTGTCAAGGACAAATCTTAGTCTCACAGGTCTCCCAGTTAGAAAAAAAATTCACTTGCTATACCAAATTTCACCACACGATGTCCCCAGTAACATGTAAAATATTTTCCCAAACTCAAGTTAGGCTTTTATCCGGTTTTAAAAAAGAAATATTCTTTTTTTTTCCAGCTTAACAGATAGGTAAGATAATAAGTCTCTGTAGGAATAGAAACCTTTTGGGACCCCAGGTACCCAAAAATTACAACAACAATTATTTAGTTGTTTAGTTTAGTTTAGTTGTTCTTTTTTTTGTTTTCCATAGCTTTATATTTCCACAGTAGGCAGAAGCCACCAAATTAAGAAGGGGAATAAAAAGAATTTCCAAAGGCTTTTATAGGAAAGTAGTTGGGAAGCAAGAAAGGTAAGATAATGTCTCACCCAATTCCTCCATGTTGCTTTCATTATGCTTGGTAGTGCTTTTGGCTTTCTGCTGGAATGGCTTCTTCGTCGGTCCAAAGTAGCTGCCTTGGATCAAACGGAAGGGCTACCGCCCTTCTGCAATCTGTAGAGGGTCCTCCTTAGTGCTGGTTGCCCCTCCAGGGCAACTTTCGACCCTTTCCAGGGTTTTCTGATGAAGGGAAACCAGACGGCGGAGAGAGCACTCTCTTCGTATATCCGCCGGCGCCACGATTGCAAACAGGAAGCCAGTCTGCTAGCTTTTCATAACAGTGTAACAGAGTTGGAAAGCACCATCCATTGCTTCTTTTCCTGCCTTCAGGTGCTTTAGAGAATATATTGATCCATTCTTCTTTGTGGCTGTCCCTCAAATATGGGAACTCTGTTATCATGTCACCTATCAACTATCCCAGTATGCTAGTCAGCAAAAGAAGCTCCTGAGACATTTTTTTCCCTCCAAGAATATACTTTACTGAAAAGCCATGTGTGTACAGAAGTAGGAAAGCCAGTTCTAATATTTTGTGTGCAAAAGCATAAGATAATTTCACCTTTTTCCCTCCTGACCCTCCCTTTGTCCACCAATCGGTTGTGCCTGGTTTGCTTTGAGAACGGTCTGTCTGCCTTGGGCTTTCTCAGAGTTGGTGACCTTTGAGGGGTGGAACTTTCTTAGGTTTCCAGATGGCACACTTGAATTCCAGAGTTTCTCTCCCAAACCACCCTCACATTCCAGTGCCTTCCCTCCCCCTCCCATTATTGTTGTCTGGTTGCAAGTCAACCATGACATCACCCCAACTCCTTCTTTTTACTAGACTAGACATACTCAATTCTTGCAACCGTTCTTCATATGTTTTAGTCTCCCTCCCCCATCATCTTAGTTGCTCATCTTTGCACTCTATCCAGAGTCTCAAGATCTTTTTTTATCATGGTCACTAAAAATGGATATAATATACCCAAAGCATTATTAAGTGATACTAACCCTGCGAGTCCCTTGAAACTGCAAGGCGATCAAACTGGTCAGTCCTAGAGGAGATCAACCCTGACTGCTCTTTAGAAGGCCAGATCTGGAAGTTGAAATTCAAGTACTTTGGCCACCTAGTGAGAAGGAAGGACTCACTGGAGAATCGCCTAATGCTGGGAAAGATTGAGGGAAATAGAAGAAGGGGAGGACAGAGAATGAGGTGGCTAGATGGAATCACTGAAGCAGTAGGCATGAGCTTAAATGGACTCCAGAAGATGGTAGAGGATAGGAAGGCCTGGAGGAACGTTGTCCATGGGGTCGCAATGGGTCGGACATGACTTTGCAACTAACAACAACAACCCTTCACTTGATCTCAATTCTATCCCTCTATTAATGCAGCCTAGCACTGTGTTGGCTTCTTTGCAGTAAAAGAAGTTCTAGAAGTCATGACTGACTCAAAGACAGACACATCTACTGGGGATAATAATACAGTAGATGATTTCCAAGGCTTCCTCCATGGATTCCATTCATGATTACATGAAATTACAGATAGAAACATAAGTTTGGAGGAGCTTTAATATAAAACATGACTTACCGCATAGAAAAAGCCACCACTGAATTTCACAAGACTTTCAAGGATTTGAATTAACTTCTGGAAGTTTTCGTCTTCAGGAGGAAACTGATGTCCAAAACTCAAAGCACATATGACATTAGAAACTGCATTTATTACTGGAAATGAGGGATCAAATGGTTGTCCTGCAAGTGAAGGAATTTTATAATGAATTTTTAAGGAACAGAGCTTGTAAGGGGATGAAGGAACAGAATTGGGATCTCTGCCAATTGTTTCAAAAGGTTAAAAAATAATCAAATCAAATACATCTGTTCTTGTTTGAATTATGCAGAATGGAAAAAAAATCTGCAGACAGAGACTTGAGGCTTTACCCCAAATTGCATACCTTTTGTTTGTCTGAAGATCTCTACCAATGTCTGAGCAACTTCTTCTATTCTGTGCTCAATGCTTTTTTTCCCCAGGCCCAGCTTCCGCAGAGAAGTGATGCCAATGTGCCGCTGCTGTTTCCAGGTGTGACCATTGGAAATAATAATTCCTGTGGGCATCAGCAGACAATGATAAATGATTCCTGATGACATTTATATTAAAAAAAACCAGTTAGGACTAGTTCATACGAAATATATCTCTGGATTTCAGGTGGGAATACCAAATCCTTCTGACATGTTGCCATTTTGTAAGATTCCAGCTATGTTATCTTTTATTACAAATATATTTATTCATTTTGGGAGTCACATTGACACTGTGAGACACATGTGGTATGGTGACCACAGGTGTAATGTTTGTCAGCCTCTATTTTATATGATGGACATCAAAAGATTCTAAGACAGTGGTTCTCAATCTGTGGGTCGGGACCCCATTTGGGGTCGAACGACCATTTCATGGGGGTCGCCAAACAAGGCTGTCCGCCATTTTTTTTATCCCTTTTCTTTGGCCACACCCCTGGCACCCGGTGATGTATAAGTGGTTGTGGGTCACCACAACATGGGGAGCTGTATTATGGGGTCACGGCATGTACGAGAACCTATGTTATAGGCACAAGAGACAAGATCTTCTCGGGGTGGCAGAATCCATCTACAACTTCCTTCTACAAGATTTAAACTAACCAGCAAAATAGGCAAATGTTTTTTTTATAATGTTTTATTGATTTTCTAATTTTACATTTAAGTATTTAAAAAGCAACATGGCAGCTGAGTTAATCAATAATTCAATGACATAAAAGTATCTTTAGTACAAGTCTCAAACTATCACGTTAAATATTTCCTCTCTTTTCCCCTTAGTATTTACTGTCTCATGTTTAAACTAATACAATTCTTATATCAATTAAATAAAAATAATTTTTAGCTTATACATATCCTGGTTATTTTAACATTCGGTCTTTTTATAGACAATCAATGTCCTAATTAATTTTTTCCCAATTTTTAGTTTCCCATTAATATTTAAATTTAACATTTAATATTTATAATTTCCAAGATTTAAGTAACCAAAGTTCCCTTTATCACAATTCATCACAAGGTCTAATATTCAGGATACACATCTATTTGAATATATTCTACTTCTCACCATCTTATCTAATTAATAATACAGTATAACATTCTTATTTTCTATTAATTTCCAAATGTCTTAAATTTAGTAACCAAAATTTCTCTTGTTTCAACATCAAATACTTCCTCTCTTTTTCTCTTAGTGTCTGCTATCTCATATTTAAGCTGGTACAGTGCTTATTATATCAGCTAAGTAACAACATGTTTATTACATTTATCAATAGATTTTTATCTTATATATATGTAAGATATATATATATATATATATATATATATATATATATATATATATATATATCTTAATTACATTTACATTCAACCTTTATAAACAAATCAATATTCAAATTTAACTTTTAATATTTATACTTCCAAGTTTTAAGTGACCAAAGTTTTCTTTATTTCAGTTCGTAACAAAATCTAGTATTAGTAATAATAATAGTAGTAAAGTTGGAAGAGACCTTGGAGGTCATCTAGTCCAACCTCCTGCTCAGACAGGAAACCCTATACCATTTCGGACAAATGGCTGTCCAGTTTCTTCTTAAAAATTGGTTTATAATTGGTTACCTCAGTAAATGCTTGTATGTGGAACAGTGATTAATGTGTACCTACTAGAGTGAATCACAAAACAACACAAGCAGGAGTATCTGCATGCATTTTAATGCCCAAAGGTGATGTATACGATTGATCTCACCACCAGCTTCTGGGGCTATTATGCCCACCATGACAACAACAACAACAACAATAATAAAGTTGGAAGGGACCTTGGAGATCATCTAGTCCAACCCTCTGCTCAGGCAGGAAACTCTATACCATTTTAGACAAATGGCTGTCCAGTCTCTTCTTAAAAACTTTCAGTGTTGGAGCATTCACCTTGCTTTTTTCACCATTTAATTTCATTTTGTTAGATAGTGCCCAGTGTTCAAGTCTGGCCGCATCCTTCTGTATCTTAAGCCTGTCTTCTGGAGTGTTGGCTATTCCTGCCAGCTTGGTGTTGTCTGCAAATTTGATGATTTCCCCATCTATCTCCTCGTCCAAATCGTCGATGAAGATGTTGAAGAGCACTGGGCTCAGAACAGAGCCCTGGGGCACCCCACTACACAAAGTACACATCTTGTCTATTTGAGTATATTCTATTTTAATCCTCACTAATAAGTCAAAATCCCAATTTTCTTCAGCCTTATTCTAGCTTTCTTTCTTTGCCAACTTGCCTTCCATATCTATGCTTTTAAGTCATCAAATAGGTCTCCTTCTGTTAGTATATATATTGTTTGAGATAAAAGAGGCCATCCTTTTTTGGAAGGGCTAACAAATTGTCTCTCTATTTTTCCATCTTGATGTAATTGTCCTGAAATGTTTATCTTCCCTTTGGTCTGTAGAGATCCTCAGGTTTCTTCTGGTTTATATAGAAAGTCTTTTCCATTTTCAGTATTGTCAGCCCTTTTCTGGGTTTTCCGTTAACTGTGTTTGTTGATCAGTTGAATCTTCTATCATAGTATTTGATTGTTCCACTTGTTCTATTATATTCTGTGTAGTTGATTTTTTAGTTGTAATAAAAGTTTGGGTTTGTATATCTAGGCTGACATCTTGTTCTTTTCTGTAGCTTCTTATTTCATCAGAAGCTGTAAGAATAGTTTCATAAATTGCTTTCAACATAAAGAGAATCTGTTCCTGATCTTAATCTATGTTCTCTTAGTGGTGTGTTAAATTAAAAGTTTTACAATCAGAGAGTGAAAATAATTTTGTCACTGAGTATAGAACACAGTTGATATCTGCCAAGGTTGCAAAAGTCTAAGCTATAGTCTGGGCTTCAAGCCAAGTCTTTTTTAGACAATAACAAGTTGTAATATCAGGTTTAGCCACAAGATGTCACCCATACCATTTAAGATTTATTTTTTAAGTCCAAAATTTTTATAATCCTTTTTCTAATTTTACTTCTTTTTTGTAAATAAAAACCCAAATCTTTAATAAAAATAAGAAATCTTTTAGTCCTCAAATTTTAGAAAGATAGAAATCCAGTTAGAATCAGGTTATTCTTTCAGCGTTTTAAGCTCCCCTGGATAGTCAGTTGCTGCTGTTTTTAGAGCAGGGCTTTTCAACCAGTGGTAGGGGTACCACCTGTGGTACATTGGCACCTGGCAGGTAGTAAGTGACCATCCTAGAAAAGTGGTAGCAGGGAAGGGGAATGAGTTGAACTGGTGGCAGCACCGCACAAGCCTGAGAGAGAGATGGCTGGAGCTGCAGGGCAGTCAGGGCTAAGTGGAAGCGTCAGGATCAGCACTTCTTCAGGGCTGTCAGGACTCAGTGGAAGTGCCAGGATCAGTGCCAGGCTCCAGCTGCAGCTCAGCGCTGATCCTGGCACTTCTACTGAGCCCAGAAGAAGCACTGATCAGCTGGAATGTTGCAGCATCTCCAGGGTCTTGTGATTTACATTCAGATGCTTGGCAACTGATTCATATTTATGACAGGCACAGTGTCCCATGGTCTTGTGAAGTGACCAAAACCTGCTGCAATGACCCAGCAAATGGGAGGGAATACAAACCAAACACCCCCACCCCACCCCCACTGCCAATCCTCAATAGAAATGCTCACAACAATGAAAACCTCGGACAGGAGAAAGACTACCGCCATGTGGGCAGGCAGGTGTCTTGCTCGGCTGTGGCTTGGGGGGCACTTTTTCAGTGCCATTGTAACTTCGAAACAATCACTAAGCGACCTGTTGTAAGTCGAGGACTACCTGTACTTCATCACTTTTTTCCTTTTTTTTTGGTCATCAAGTTTTTGATACCTTGCTAGGCGACTGGTGGTACTTGGATATTGCCTATCCTAAAAGTAGTACAATGGGTGAAAAGGTTGAAAAGTCCTGTTTTAGAGGGTGGGATAGAATTTCCCTTCTCTCTCTCCACATGGGAGAAAATACGTTGGGCAGCTTATACAAGTAGAAAAAAAGTAGGATTGAAGAGAGGTTCAGATCTCACCCAGTCTCATCCGCACTGCTTTATAGGTGCCTGGTGGTAAGTTTAACTTCAACTGCATTCTAGTGGCGGGCCATATTTCTATGGTCGGTCTTTCATCCGAGGGCTGTCCCGGATTGAGTAGAAGGGCTACCACCCTCCTGTGATCAAGCAAGGATGCCCTCCTTGCTTGTTGTCCCTAAAGGGCGACTTTCAACCCTTTCCTGTGTCTCCCAGTGGTGTGAAATCGGACGTGGAACATGGAGCTCGCCTTCAAGTGGCTGCGGCGGCAAACCAGAAGTCTAGGCAAATGATTTTTTTTTTTTAATTCACCAAGCTCAATCAAGTTAGTTACCAATTAAAAAAATGTAGCTCAGGGTTGAAATGAGAGGTCCTTGGTTCTCTCTGAGCTTGAGTGTTTTCTTTCAGGCTATTAATTACCCAAATTAGGGAACATCATCAGTGCTGATGATCAAGTTATTATGTTCTTCTGCCAATAGAAAATGTAGGGAAAAAAATTAAATTCATCAACAAATGCAAATTTGTCTCCCTGAACTTAAGAAGACATGACTTTTCCTAAAACAGGCTACAGGTTGGTAAAAGGAACAACCCAGCTACCATGAATACAAATAAAAATAACTTGAGGAATTACAGGGTGGTAAAAAGGAAAAAACAATATGAGAAATACTAATTATACAATTGTGTTTTTAGTTACAGAAAAACAAGCTATGAATCATAGAATCATAGCTGGAAGAGACCATGGAGATCTTCAAGTCCAGGCAAATGGTTTTACAGTCTGTTCTTGAAAATCTCCAGTAATGGAGCACTCACAATCCCAGGAGGCAAGCTATTCTATTAATTAATTGCTCTCACTCTCAGAATATTTATCCTTATTTCTAGGTTGTATCTCTTTGATGAGTTTCACCCATTACTTCTGGTCCTGCCCTCTGGTGCCCTAGAGAATAAATGAATCCCCTCTTCTTTGTGACAGCTGCTCAAGTACTGGAAGTCAGCTATCATGCCCCCCAATCTTTCTCTTCAAATAGGCTAGACACCCCTATTGTCCTACAATTTAGCCTCCAGGCCTTTATCATCTTTTTTGCTTTTCTCTGCACACTTTCCAGGATCAAAACATCTTTTTTTGTACTGTTTTCTAAAACTGGATGCAGTGATCCAAGTGTGGTCTCTCCAACATGATGTAAAGTGATACTGCTTCAGACAGGAAGGCGGTGCAGAGAGTGGTGAGAATGGCCAAAAAGATCGTTGGCAGTTCCCTCCCTCCCATCCAGGACTAGCACAGAAGCGCTGCTTGAACATGGTCTGTAAGATTATCTGGGATGCTACCCATCAACTCTCCATGACCTGTTTTCCTTATTCCCTTCTGGGAGGAGGGGGCTTCATGGTATCCGCAGCAGAACATCCAGATTCAGCCAGAGTTTCATTCCATACAGCATTAACCTTGCAAACTCTCAAGCTTCCTCCTTCCGTTATATATTCAAGACGGACAGTATTTAATATTTATTTGTTATGTATATGTAGGGCTGTGGGTCTATACATATGTTGTTCATAGTATGTTTAGGTGTGTGTCATGTATGTGTTTCACTTGAGAGCAGGCAACTAAATTTCATTTTTGATGTGTGTTGTGCCCACAGTAAAAAAAATGACAATAAAGGTTATCTTATCTTATCTTATCTCTTATCTTATCCTATCTTGTCTTGTCTTGTCTTGTCTTGTCTTGTCTTGTATTATCTTATCTTATATCTTATCTTCTTATATCTTCTTATATCTTATCTTATCTTATCTTATCTTACTGTCAGCTCTCATTGTCTTGATGCCATCCTTATATTGATGCAACCTAGAATTGCTCGTTTGGAAACCAACCCACAAGCTCGAAAAACGAATCTTCACCCTCAGAATTAGAAATACATTCTTCTACTTTCTTTAATCAGTCCTAGAAGAGATCAACCCTGACTGCTCTTTAGAAGGCCAGATCCTGAAGTTGAAACTCAAATACTTTGGCCACCTAATGAGAAGGAAGGACTCACTGGAGAAGGGCCTAATGCTGGGAAAGATTGAGGGTCGTAGAAGAACGGGACGACAGAGAATGAGATGGCTGGATGGAGTCACTGAAGCAGTAGGTGTGAACTTGAATGGACTCCAGAAGATGGTAGAGGACAGGAAGACCTGGAGGAACATTGTCCATGGGGTCGCGATGGGTCGGACACGACTTCGCAATTAACAACAACAACAACAACTTTCTTTAAAAAGACACAGGATAGCAGAACTAATTTTCATTTTAGAAATACCCCCCTGCCTCCAACTATACAATACCACAGTGATAATGTGAGGATGGAAGGATTTAACAACCAGATGACTGAAAGGAATATAAATATAAATCTTTCCATCCTCTACCATTCAGTCGGAACTGAAGAAGCTTCCTGGATAAAAATGAAATGCCTGCAAGGAAACTCAAAGGTGAAAAAGCACCTTTGGGATAATCAAATTTATAATTCAATTTGTCATGAAAAAATTTATATTGGATGTATTTAGAAAAACTTGCACTGACTTGCTCGCTTCCTGCTCGAGTAAGGTCCGTCAAGAACTTCTGTTGGCTTATTTTTTTTCTTTTTAATTGGTTTCTCCTCTTTTTTTATTTGTCATTTATATTGGTACTTTATGTGGATATTTAAATTGTAATCTTGATTTCAGGTGAGATCATTAAACCTGCTGATTTTATTCCAATTTTAGAAATGTTATTAGCTTAGAATAGATCCCAATTAAATCTAATTCTTGTACATGGAAACTACTGAAAGCTTATAATTATATATATGGGTAGCAAATATGAAAATAGTGGTTTTAGGTGGGTTGGTCACATGCAGAGAATTGGTTAAAATCAAATTTGTAAAATTTGAAGAAAGTGGCAAAATTTAAAGACGGCTCAAAAAGAAAGGACTGAAGAGATAAAGGAAGACTGAGACAGTTTTAGTTGAATGGGGAGGTTGAGAACCTCATAAAACAGAGTTGGCTGTTTAGTGAAAAAGAAGTAATGTCTAAGAATGTATGGATGTAGTGAACCAGATAGAATGCAACGGCAATGTATAATAATTTGGTATAAAGTGGATTATAGCAATATTTCTTTTGCTTATCTTATGCCATGAGGTTATTTTTTAAACTATACCTTACTCCCCACCCTCCCATGCTATGCATAGTATCAACATAAATTATAATAGTGTGGTAGTTATTTAGTTATAAGTGCAATTTCTCACTACTTGCACTTACCTCTTCCTTTCCCAAAAGCACTCAAGAGTAAATACTTTGGTCGATCAGAAAATTCTTCTGGGAAACTGGTCATTCCTTCTTTCACAGCTTTGAATCCAGACAGCACTACTGCAAGGTGAGATCCAAACCACAAGGAGTATATATTTCCATATCGTTTTGCAGGCTGCCAAGTGAATCAAAGCTGAGAAATGTTACAATCAAATAAAACAGATTATTTATACCATATTTTCCGGTGTATAAGACGACTTTCTAATCCCTGAAAATCTTCTCAAAAGTCAGGGGTCGTCTTATACGCAGGAATATATGGGTAGCTGTTCTTTGAATTTAAAACCAATCTGCCCCCTAGTGGCCAGCCCTATTTTTTTTTTACAGAAATAAGCACTAACAAGACAAAGCTTTCTAGCAGCAAAGGAGCTCCTATTGTGCTCATCTATAAACAGAAATTCAATATTATACTGTATTTTCTGGTGTATAAGATGACTTTCTAAACCCTGAAAATCTTCTCAAAAGTTGGGGGTCGTCTTATATGCCTAGTCGCCTTAGACGCCGGAATATACGGTAGTTAATATGCCATTTACAGTCTTTCCCAAATCCTCAATACTAAGATTTTTCACCATATGCAATTTTGTAAATTGCATATGGTGAAAAATCTTAGTATTGAGGATTTTATAAATTTTATAAATTGCATGTGAAATTTATTCCCACCCTCCCACCCCCAGATTCCCACCCTCCCACCCCCAGATTCCCACCAAGAACTTTTGTGTTTGTATTTCATTTGTTTTCCTGGGGTATGCCTTTCTCTTTGTGTCTGCAGGAAAGTTGAGAATTGTTACAATCAAATAAAACAGATTATTTATAGTTAATGAGCCATTTACACTCTTCCGTAAATTCTTAAATCTAAGATCTTTCACCATAAGAAATTGTCTGCTCCTGAGAAACTTATTTTCTCTAAGAATCCTGCCAAGAACTTTTATTCTTGAGCTTCATTTATTTTCCTGGGCTGTTCCTTTATTTATGTTTCTACCCAGTGCTTTTTTTCTTAAAAAAAAAAAAAGTGCCGGAACTCACACACGTCATACAACCCACCTTGCCTACCCTACAAGGCTCCATCCAAAAAAGGTGCCAGAACTCCATTCTGGGTGTTCTATGATAAAAAAAAAAAAAAAAAACCTGTTTCTACCTGAAATCCACCATCTCCTATCTGCTTGCTTATTCCCCTTTGTCTCGGATGAGAGATGGTCTTCTTACTATAAATAATGGAAATAAATGTTAGTCTAGAACTCAGATCCAGAAAGCTTTTGAAATTATTATGGAATTGCAGAATCTTCCTGGGCTCCAAAATCAGCATAGATGGGGACTGCAGCCAAGAAATTAAAAGACGCTTGCTTCTGGGGAGGAAAGCTATGGCAAATCTAGACAGCGTACTAAAAAGCAGAGACATCACCCTGCCAACAAAAGTACGTATAATCAAGGCCATGGTTTTCTCAGTTGCAATGTATGGTTGTGAAATTTGGACCATAAGAAAGGCTGAGCGCCAAAGAATGGAGGCCTTTGAACTATGGTGCTGGAGAAGAATCCTGTGGGTCCTGCGGACTGCAAGGTGATCAAACCGGTCAGTCCTAGAGGAGATCAACCCTGACTGCTCTTTAGAAGGCCAGATCCTGAAGTTGAAACTCAAATATTTTGGCCACCTAATGAGAAGGAAGGACTCACTGGAGAAGAGCCTAATGGTGGGAAAGATGGAGGGCAATAGAAGAAAAGGACAACAGAGAATGAGGTGGCTGGATGGAGTCACTGAAGCAGTAGGTGTGAGCTTAAATGGACTCCAGAAGATGGTAGAGGACAGGAAGGCCTAGAGGAGCGTTGCGCTTGGGGTCGCGATGGGTCAGACATGACTTCGCAGCTAACAACAACAACAATTTAGGCTGTAAATGTCCACCTATTGTCTACCTCAAGAATATAGAATAAAGCATCTTAAACAAAATGAAGGGGAACCCACCCTCTCTCTGAAGAGCTGGTTCCATTATCAAACATTTCTTGGTAAGACTGAACTAGAATCTGCCTTCTAAAACTTCAGCCCCATTATTTCACATTGTGCTCTGTGAAATAGCTATAAGTCTTACCTGAATATTTTGGCATGATGAGGAAAATAACTAATCAAATGTCATCACTAGCACTTGAAGAAATGTATTCCTCATTGTGTGGGACTATTTTACTAGATTTGTCCATAATTTTGATATAAAGAAAGCAATTGAGCATTATCTTGTGTATTACTGGTTAGAATCAAATACCTTAAGGAAGTAATCTTCACGAAATGAAATCCCACTTGCCAAGGCAGTCCCAATGAGAGGTAGAGCCAAAGGACCGGGAGGCAAATGTCTTTGGGACCAGAGTTGTCTCAGGAAGAGGAGAATCAGCAGAGCAAGCAGCAAAACAAACAAAAATGTCACTATCATCATTGTTGTCCTGCTGGGTTTTTTTCTTTGATGCTCACTGGTGGATTTGAAGAAGGTTGTCTGATTTTGTCTGATGTTTTTTTTTTCTTCCTGTTTTATATGCTCCATTGATAAGAAACAAATTACAACATGTCTTTTGATGCTCAGTGTCATTAGTGATGGAACTGTGTCAACAAGATATTATCACATTAATTCAGGTTAATGAGATTACCTCTGACCATGTGCCACACAAATAACAGAGGAAGGGATTTGTTTATAAAAAAAAAATCAAGAGTTGTGTAATCCATTTTGCCCCAAACATAGTAGTATGCCAGAATTATTTTAAAATCAGTGCGTATCACATGTCCTTGAAATTTATCTGAATAGAAAGGAGAATCTTGTTGGGCCACAGAGTTTTATCTACTCCAGGATTATATCTCATACATACCCTTGCAAGCCCAGCATCAGGACATTATCATGAAAGACTTCACTCAGCTTTGCTTACAAATAAGGGAACATCTTCATGAAAGCTTCATACTCTTGAGAACCATCTCTGGTGCCATACAGCCTTTTGCAACTAAAACAAGTATAACCACTATACTAATAAGGAGGACTGCTGTAATAGATTCTGGAGCAGTTGTTATTGTTTGAAAGGTGTCCTAAATCCAACCAGCAAACAATAGGTAGAGAGCTATGTAAAAATGATGTCATCAATCAGCTGCCTAACCCATGACCACATCTGAAAATAATTCATGCTAAAGTTTTAGCAGCAACAGTTGCCCAAGTCTGAAGAATCAAAAATCAAAGATAATAAAAAAAGTTTCTTTCAATATGTAAATTACAAGAAAAAAATCAAGGAAACGGTCTGCTAAAGAGAGAAGACAGCAAGGAAGTAACTTTTTTGAAGCTCACATCTGCCCTTTTTTCTGAGCTCCAGATGTTTTCTTTTTCTCCTTGCTACAAAGCAGAACTCTAACAATGACCCAGGTTTCACTTGATTTCTACAGTCATTCAACAATTATCCCTTCATAAGACCTTTAATTGGGCAATTTGTAATTGCATGCCAGACCCATGTCACAAGGATTGTTGTTGCGAAGTCGTGTCTGATCCAATATACAAGGATAAGAATCCCCAGTTATTTTCCTTGAATTACCTTCTTGGTTGTTATTAATTTGCTTGTTCACTAAAAGTATAAATTATCCCATTTACCAAAGTGACACTTGGTGATATGCAATACGTGACTTTCTTTCCCTTTGCCCCTATGCCAGTCCTTGCCATGGATTTAAAATAATAAATAAGGCCCTTCCCCTCCTATTTAGAGTAAGTGAAGCATGATCAGAGGTATGTGGATTAATGGACCAATATCTTCTGAAGAAAATTCCAGCACTGATTTGACAGAGCATCAAAAGATGGGTTGCTATTGGTTTCCAATCAGCAGAGAATAGTGATCAGGAAGAAAATCTAAAGCATCAGATAAAAGGAAGCAACAGCAATAGTTACAGCAGTGGTTCTCAACCTGTGGGTCGGGACCCCATTTGGGGTCGAATGACCATTTCACAGGGGTCGCCAAACAAGGCTGTCCGCCATTTTTTCCCCTTTTCTTTGGCCACGCCCCTGACACCCGGTGATGTATAAGTGGTTGGGGGTCACCACAACATGGGGAACTGTATTATGGGGTCGCGGCATTAGAAAGGTTGAGAACCACTGAGTTACAGCAATAAGAGAGAAGATTCCAACTTACCATGGCCAATTCACCACAGAATAACTTGCATGGTCAACTTGCTGTGGGACAACTCGCCATAGGACAAGAGTTATACTAATATAAAAGAAATGGTGGAATATTATTATTAAAGAAAAGATGTAAAAGGAGGGACAACATGAAATGTGAATTACATAAATGAATATAATTATTTCATTATTGTAAGTAATTAAATTGAACTGTTGAATTGTCCTACAGACAGTTGTCTTGTGGTGAGCTGGCCACAGCAAGTTGTCCCATTCTGCCCCAATCACTATATGATGGAGAAAAGTGGAACAACCTGCCTCAAGAAGCTGTGAATGCTCCAACACTGGAAGTTTTTAAGAAGAGATTGCACAGCCATTTGTCTCAAATGGTATAGGGTTTCCTGCCTGAGCAGGGGGTTGGACTAGAAGACCTCTCTTCCAACTCTGTTATTCTATTCCAGTGGTGGCAAGCCTATGGCAACGGGTGCCAGAGGCGGCACTCAGAGCCCTCTCTATGGGCACGAGCACCATCGCTCCAGTCCTAGGCCTTCAGCTGGGTTTTATAAAACTTTTTCACTTTAGGCCTCCGCTGCCATGTGCAAAAAAAAAAAAAAAAGGTTCAATCAGTCAATTTCAACTTCTTGCAGGGAAAAAAAAAAGATTTTGCAAAGTTGGAATTGATTGATTGAACTTTTTAGTCCAACCCATTCTGCCATTACCACTGCAGCCATGCCCACCTAATGGGCCACTCCCACCTGGCACTCAACGAGGCATAAGTGGGTTTGGGGCTGCAGTTTGGGCACTCAGTCTCTAAAAGGTTTGCCATCAGTGATCTATTCTATTCTATTCTATTCTATTCTATTCTATTCTATTCTATTCTATTCTATTCTATTCTATTCTATTCTGCTTCTGCTTCTGCTTCTGCTTTTGCTTTCTTCATAAGCTCCATTTCAGTTTGTTACTATACATGTTACTACTCTCCTTTAATATGATACATGCTAGATAAATGCTGTGATAAATTGTATATGAACATTTCTTTAACCAATATTCATGTACATCACCTTGAATCTCATTCTCTTGATATATGATTCCTAGCCATTTAGATATAAAAAGAATATCATTTGGATGGTTAATAAGCATCAGTTGGTTGTGCTGAGAATTAGCATTCAAGTCTAAGCTTCCTCTAAATACATTTTGCAGTCAGTCTTTCCCCCTGTGTTATTTTTTCCATTGTCCATCTGGCTTCTGTCAGGTTGCACACTCTTGGGTTAAACTATTGTCTCCTTTTCTTCTTAACTGAGGGGCTTGTTTGATTTCTTGTTTATGGTATTGTTTGTTTTATGGAACAGCTTACCTTCAGAAGATGTGGGTTCTCTACCCCTGGAGGCTTTCAGACAGCCACCAGTCTGAAATGGTATAGGGTCTCCTGCTTGAGCAGTGGGTTGGACTAGAAGACCTCCAAGCTGCCTTCCAACTTTGTTATTCTGTTATTCTGTTAAAGGGAGAGGGAAATTTGGAATACCTGGATTCTTCAAACTAGATTGCGCCACATAGTTAATATAGTTAACATGGGTCATTGGAATACCAAAAAGAGAGATTGTGTTATCCTTAAGTCCACATCTCCACTGTCAACTTCTTCTAATAAGCCCAAAGGGAGCAGAATGGCTACCCACTAAAAGGGAAAGTAGGAGAGTTGTGCTGTCATTTAAATGCTCTACAATACCTACTATACTGCTTAAAAAAAAAAATCTTTTCTGGGTACACTAGATGTGTTTCATAATAAAATATGGTCACATTTTCATCCTTCTAAATAAGCTGAAGATCTCCCTCTAGGCTCTAGGAATGATAAACTATCTACCATAAAGAGGCTTGAAAGTTTGGCCTTGACTCCAGTCATGTGCTAACAAAAAGGTTTCTCATAAATTTCTAGAAACAGCTCATTCATTCATTTGGAGCCCCACCAAATAGTGAGCCAGATGAAATTAATGTAGTTACAATGGACACTGTTATCAACTCATACAGCAGCAGAATCTCTGACTGAATTTGTGGTAACATTCTCCCCAAAAGGGTTGCAGGAACAGTGATAGCAATCTACAAACACCTCTGATACACTTTGACTTAAGTGAGGATTTTCAACAGAAGAGCAACCAGAAGGAAGACAATTGGACAATTTTAAAAGATGAAGAAAGGTTGATCTTGCACCATTAAAAACAACAACTTCATTTCCCCTGATGCCATGGTTTTATCAGAGGGACTGCAGGGTGAATGGACCCCCCTCCAGAAGAAAATTCACAAAACTTTGGATCAACCCACTGCCAAGAACAGTCTAACAACACCTCTAGCTCACCAGACTCAATCAAATATTCAAGATCTTCAGACCTCTTCTAGCATTGAGCCTAAGATCGGCAAACTTAACAGCAGTGCATTGGAGTGCCAGGTGAAGACTCGTAAGGAAATTAAACCATTTGCAAGAAAAGGAAGACAATATGGCAAAGATCAGGTAAGCTGCTTTGACAAGTAGAGTCAAGGTAAATCAAAGTCACCAATCAGTGTGTATACCTGAATATATCAGATTCCCTTGATATCTGTTGATCATTGATAGAATGGGATACATTACAACTTACCCCTTAAAAGCTCCTTTTGGATAAGAATAAACTAGCAAGTACATGGAGTCTCACCTTTTTTTTTTTTTGGTATTCAGTTGCAGGAATGTTGGTTCCCTTTGAATATCCCTATAGCTGTCTCCATGTGTGAGGAATATTACTTCCAATGATTCACTGCCCCAAGCTGTAGTGGACGAGAAGATCCAAAAAAATAATAATAATGTTCTATTTCCATGCAACTTTAACTGAATGGATATTCTAGGGGACTCATTCAAATTTGGAAGTTCAGCAAGTCTACTGGGGAAAAATTTATACCTCCTAAATTATTGAAATGTCACTTTGATTGGTGGGCTTCCTTATTTGCAGTTTTATTTATCTGCCAAATTCTATCTGATTGAGATCTCTCTGTTGTGGTACCCATTTACAAAAAGGGTGATAAGGATGATAGCAAAATTGTAAGCCAAATGTCTTTGACACCAGATTGAGGACTTGGTCATTGAAAAGGGCTAGCTATCTAACTGATTTTAGGTCTGGTCACCTCCCCATTGATAACTGTTTAATTTTATGTCATCTAATAGAAAAATATACCGTTAAAGATAGACAGATGTTTACAACTTTTATAGACTTCAGTGCAACATTTGATTCAATAAACTGAGACCTTCTTTGCAAGAAACTGATGGACCTGACCATGGATTCTAGACTTCTCTATTTATTTAAGGCAGTGGTTCTCAACCTGTGGGTC